ATATATATATATATATATATATATATATATATATATATATATATATATATATATATGTGTGTGTGCATGTATAGAGAGAGTGAACATTGAAGTCAACACTCAGAGGCTACAGGCTGTTTCATGCGGCCTGACGATTGCGCCCAGCATTAAACAGCCTGTCGCCTCTGAGTGTTGACTTCAATGTTCACTTTTATATTTATATTTACATACGCTCTATCTCTGATATTGAGCACTTTATACCATAAATATAGCATACCTTAAAACTGTATTTTCATAGAAAATATTCGTTCTCCAACAGGAATCGAACCTTTTCTCCTATACGGAACCGTTATTTAGCTATGAAATTTTCTCGGATATTCAGGCCGGTAAATGTTATTAATACTGTTTATTATAAAACAGACCATTTACTTAAATATTTGTACCTATAAAAAGAATTTATAAATATAAAAATGTCTTAAAATAATTGTCGGTCTATGTCCATTTCATAGTGAAATTAATGTCAACCAGCGTAGAAATCGAAAGGTCTTTACGAACGAAATGGTTCTTTCAAAAAGGATCCTTATAACGGGGAGAGAGCTAGGAAAGAAAGATTTATTCTTCTATTTCTATTTTCCCCATTATGGGCATTATTATATCTGTGATATAGCAACACCGTATTTCACGGACAAAACAGAATGCCTGTCAGGAAAAGGAATTAAAAACATGCTTTGTTCTCAGAGAAACTTTTATACCACTAAGACACAGAAAACTATATATACATACATAAACATGTCCCACGCAAGGAACAACATATCATATATATCTACATAACTAGCAGTGTGTAGGGAGAAAGAAAAAAGAAGGGTCTTATCTGTAATATGGATATTTTTCTATATTTCTGGAGAAGCCATGTTCAGAACTTCAGAATCAAACGAGCCGGATTCATCTATCTCCCAGGCGAGGACATGTTCCACAAAGGGAAAACGGCGAATTGAGGATTGCGAGGAGGAGTTAGTTTCTATATGTTGGGAAGATATATTTCAAAAAGGAAACGGCAACATGAACTTGTAACCTGTATTATTTGGCTGCTCAGGGTGAAAGCCCTAGCAGGACAAGCAAACATGACACCAATAAGCTTACTGACAGAATGACAGGCCACTTTCCTCTCTGTATGATAAGCGGCCGTCACGTGACATATCTCCACCAAACGGAGATAATCGCCTTTTGTATCCCTTCATATTTTTTTTAAGCAGAGAGTTCTATATAAATTAAGACACGGGAAACCTTCCTGATAAAGCATGGTTGCTCTGAAAAACGATGACGTTTCTATAGGTTGGCTTTTGTTTCTTTTACGGTATATCAACCTTAATGGGTTAATTCCGACAAGATTTTTATTATTGATAATGTTTTTTTTTCTAAATGTATTGCTGGTAATTTAAAAAAAAAAAAAAAAAAAAAAAAAAACCATTGTTGGTATTAAAAAGTATTTTTATACCTTCATGGTTCTATGACCCGTTTTGGGGGTTGACCCATCTTCTCATAGCTGGGACCCCGACAGGTGCCACCACTCTCGGTCAGAGCGGACCTGGGAACACCAACAATTAAGAGATAGTTCCACGTTCCTCAAAGCCTCCTGATCAGAGGCCTTGCTGCTGAACGTAGTTTATCGTCATAACCAGGATGACTTTCCTTTAGAACCTGGTGGGTGTGAATATGCAAACATAAATTATATGACCGAAACATATACATAAATAATCCTTTCCCAGCGAATTCACAGTGATCTGGTTACATTCTACTGTCAAATCATATTACTTTTTAAAAAATACCTAATAAAATGTTCGAGAGATACTCAAGGTAGAGGGTTTTTGTTAAAATGATAATGAACAGTTGTGTAATATGAATGAAAAAAAAAATGGGTGTCAAAGATTATCAGGATAAGAAAAATAGATAACGATTGACCCTTGGCTTGAAAAGGTCAAAGTTGAAGTGTTCAGAGAAGCACTTTATTCGTTATAAGGCTTTAAAGTATTAAATGCTGCTATATATTCTCAGTTAACTTTAAAGTTCCTGTCAGAAGAAGATAACTCATGAGGCAACAAAAAAAAAAAATAAATAAATAAAAAATAAAACAATGCATTATTTTACTACCGTGAAAACTTGTAAATTAAAATTTGGACTTTAAATAATGTTTCTGCACTTGAAAAAATATATATTAATTTTCAATTTTCTTTTAAATTTCCGTTCGATATTTCCGGAAAAAAATTGAACTGCATGTGATATCCTTAAAGCATTGGAATTATTTCAATTTATTTATCAATCTATTTTATAATTTATGAAAAGTAACGATAAAGCTAGGACTATGATAAAATAAAAACAATTGGTTCATTTATTTATTTATTTTTTTTTCTAACTGCTCATACATCAAAAATCAACAGAACTGACGCTAAAGTCTGGACATAGGTGTGAAAAAACTGAGGATTCACTAAATTCACTTAATCCAAGCCTTACATGAAGCCCTTTTAAAAATGTTCAAATTTCTTCACACCTTTTGCTCACGTCTTGTAAGTTGGGTTTATCCCTACCAGCTGCGTTTTGGAGACAATTTTTTTTTTTTTTTTTTTATTGCTGGCTGGCTG